TTAAGAAACCATCAACTTAGATTAGCTCAATAAACTAATCATTTGGTGCTAATTAAAAGTTAATTAGGTAGCAGTTGGGTCTTTTCTGATTGGTGTTTACTGATGCAAGGGCAGAGTCAACCTGTCACTCACATGACATCCAGTTATGTGCTTTTCAGCCTGATCTCATGAGAAAACGTAAGTATTTTACGTTTTGCCAGTTTAGTGGCTAATTCAGTCGTACGAAACTGTACAATTTTAAAAAAGGGGTGTGGGACCTAATCCCACCCCTAAACCCAACCGTTATTGGGGGATGAGCAAGTCGTACTGAATTGTACGAATTAGATTGTACGAATTCATACGAATTAACCACTAAATCAAAAAGTTACGAATTGCCGTGAGATTGTGTTGGTGCTTTTTTTTTGGGTAACATTTTAGTAAGGAACAATTTACATCATTTATTACTGGCTTATTATACTATTACTAAGATAGTAAATGTTTATTAGCACTTATTAAATACAATCCTAAGATGCTTTCACATCTATAGTATATTTCATTTGATGTGGACCAAGGATAAATATGACACATTGTAGGATTTTTCAGCCATTTTACTTCTGTTTCACCAACGCAATCTCACGGCAATTCGTAACTTTTTGATTTAGTGGCTAATTTGTTTGAATTCTCACAATATAATTCATACAGTTTAGCACGATTTACTCATCACCCAATGACGGTTGGGGTTAGGGGTGGGGTTAGGTGCCACGCCTCCTTTTTAAAATCGTGCATTTTCGTACGACTGAACTCGTACGAATTCGTACGAATTAGCCACTAAATTGACAAAACGTAAAATATTTCGTTTACTCATAAGATCAGGCTGGTTTCACACCAAACCGACTGCTCTGAAACGAACCATTTAAAATGAACCTAACAACTACATGCACATTAGTCGTTGGCTAGACAAACTGCATTTTGATTGGTCAGAAATAATGAGGGGAAACTGACGTGTGCAACACAAAGAAGAAAACAAAGAGAGGAGGAAAAAGCAAGGAGAAAACTATTTAAATGAAAAAACATATTAGTGTGGACAAGGCCTCAATCAGGGGCGGACTGGGACAAAAATTCAGCCCTGGCACTGCAGCCACATCAGCCCACATTACCACACCGACACAGCCCCACCCACAGACACGCACATTCACTATTTATTTTGATGTACAGATGGTGAAATAATATGACATTCTTGCCAGATTTTGATTACATCCGGGTAACCTCAGATTGGGTCAGCCCATCTTGAAATTAGGCGGTCGTCGCCGATTAGGCCAAATGCTTAACATTTATTATTATTATTATTTTTTTTTAAATTTATTTATTTTATTTATCATCATCATAATATCACATCTAGCAAGAGATAAAAGCTGCCTGCACGTAAAAACAATAAAAATAAATAAATAAAAAAACTGACCGGCCCACATTTAAAAAATTGGTCCGGCCCTTCTGGCATTTGCCAGAATTGCCAGATGGCCAGTCCGCCCCTGGCCTCAATATCTCAAAACTGCTCAAGATGAAGACTGAACCTTATAATTCCAAGGTGGCAAATTTTTTCACTCATATATATGTCACAGTATGGAAAAGATGATTGGAACTTACGTTTCATGCAGACTTCAATCATATCAAACACTCTCAGAAATGAAGGCGCAAAATCAGTCACTGGGGTGGTACCTTTACTAAAGGTACTTCTTTGTTTCCTGTAGGTCCCTAAAGGTTAAAAAAAGTAAATCTGTACCTCATAGTACCTTAAAGGTACAAAAGTAAACCTAAATGAGATAATGACATTGAGTGAATGCTTTAGGCACGTAGTACACCATCAACAAACAGATTTGCTTCTAATCATCTAAATCCCAGAGTCAGCACATTCAGAAATAACAGTTTGTTGGCAAAAGTTGCTAAACGCCACTTGCCTTTGACAGCAAAAGCCGCTATATCCCGAGAACCAATCAGAAGGCGCAAATCGAATCATTTGTTTTCAATCTACACACTGATACGCCGGCTTTATGAGGAGACTGTTTTCATCCACTTTCAATTTCGATTTTAAAATACAGAGTTTGATGAACTACATGAGGCTGTCCGACTGTCAGTGAACGGCAAATGAAAACGTCCCTTACCTCGAAACTCTGCATTATAAGAAAAATAAAGCACAATGTACAGACGGATGTGTAACATGCATTCATAATGGGTTTTTTTTAGCGCAGTGACACTACTTTGAATGAATCCAATTGACTATACATTAAACGGCAACTGCGTTTCACGAAAGACAGCGTTAAGATGCCGTTCTTGCATGTTACATGGATGCTAAGAGGTTTTAACAAGAGGCGAAAAAGAGACCAAGACCTTAAGTATGGTGAGAATGAATGAATGACAGCTTGTAAAGTTGTCTGAGAGGCATCGCCTTTCTGCCCAGCAGACCTACTTTGTGTTTTATTTGCTAATTTAAGCAATTTTAAAAAAATATATAAATATAATGTCTAAAATTATACATTATTCAGCATTATTCTGACTTCAGCTGTATATTTTTCTGCATTTTCTTTACTCTTTCCCTTCCAGCCGCTGGAGTTGACTTGATGTATTTATTTCCTTTGAGTGATTCTCTCTCACTCTGCTACCCTGACTCAGTGTCGTGTAATGGACAGATTTAGTCTTTATTTGATGTCCAGATCATTGATTTTCCTTCCATCACGGAGCAGTGATGAATGTGCTGCTGTTGATGTTCTGAGAGAGCGAGGGATCGAGTGTGAAGAAGTGCTTCTCAGATTGTCTGTAGCTGATTAAGTGTTTGTGGATAGTGATAAAGAGCCGCTCTCAGCGTCGCTCTCCATCCGCACCGATGTATGCTTACTTAAGAAGGTGTGAAGGGAAATGATTCTTTGTGTGCGAGTGTGTTTCTGATACTCATGAATTTTTCAGAAAGAGGATTTCTGTCATTCTATATTTAGCATTGCTCAGGTGTGAGTTTCTCATAGACTTCAACAGTGTCAAAATCTTGATGGTTCTGTGGGTCTCGTCTATCAAATCTGAGATTGGATTCGGGTCAGGTAATTGGCTAGGCCATTCTACAGCTTGATTTTCTTTCTCTGAGAGCATCTGAGAGTCTCCTTGGCTGTGTTTTGGATCATTGTCTTGCTGAAATGTCCACCCTGGTTTCATCTTCATCCTCCTGCTAATGTAGATGTTGGACTGAAGCAGCTGATGTTCATTTACACTGAGGAAGGGCAGAGCGTTGCTGAAGAACTACTGAGAGATTTCAGCTGCTGTCTGGGCTTTCACTGCCGTTCTACACCTTCCTTTCTTCATGTGTTCAATACTTTTCCCCTGTGTCATTTCAGTTTATTACACATGAATTAATTTGTAAACTAATTCGATTTGTTTTCTTTGCATATATGGATTGTTAACAACATCCAGGGAATGTTTCAAGTCAACAGCACCTTTAGAAAAATGGTGACGTGTTCAATACATGTTTTACGTATATTTGCTGTACATTAGTAGGGCTTGTGGCAGAAATGTGACCAAACAACAAAAATGCCCCTTAAAGTTATGGATGTTTCAAATGTCATTATAACATATTATAACACTTTTGCTGCCTTATATGTGTCTAATGGTGTAATTAACATTAAAAATCTACATATATTTTAACAACAATTACAAACAGATTAAATACAGCACACGTCGTTAGTATTTGAAACTTGGAAAGTTCATATTTGATAGAGTATTGCCTCGCTGTCATCACCAGAGCATATTTATGTACAGAGCATACACTTACCGGCCACTTTATTAGGTACACCTGTCCAACTGCTCGTTAATGCTAATTTCTAATCAGCCAATCACATGGCCGCAGCTCAATGCATTTAGGCATGCAGACATGGTCAAGACGATCTGCTGCAGTTCAAAGCGAGCATCAGAATGGGGAAGAAAGGGGATTTAAGTGACTTTGGCATGGTTGTTAGTGCCAGACGGGCTGGTCTGAGTATTTCAGAAACTGCTGATCTACTGGGATTTTCACGCACAACCATCTCTAGGGTTTACATAGAATAGTCTAGAAAAAGAGGAAATATCCAGTGAGCGGCAGTTCTGTGGGTGCAATTGCCTTGTTGATGTCAGAGGAGAATGGCCAGACTGGTTCCAGCTGATAGAAAGGCAACAGTAACTCAAATAAGCACTCGTTACAACCGAGCTCTGCAGAAGAGCATCTCTGAACACACAACACGTCCAATCTTGAGGCGTGTCACGCAGGATTAAGGCAGTTCTGAAAGCAACACGGTAGTAGTCAAGTGTACCTAATAAAGTGAGTGTATGTACACATTAAAAATAAATAAATAAATAAAATAAACAGTGCTAAACATTAAACATTATTTTAATTGCGATTTGCTGTTACAATTGTCCATACAGTGTGTATGTGAAGTTAAATAATGTTTTATAACTCTTTTTAATGTTATATAACTCTTTTAGCTTTGATCCTAATTGTGTTGCGTTTTGGTGACTGTCACTTTAAATGCAAATGAGATTGTGCTCTTTTCAAAAGAGGGCGGAGCTACAAATGAAAGTTCGTCAGCATAGTGGCACGTTCAAAAACAAGACTAACATCCTATGCTAATGAGGGAGAGATGGACACTAGTGGGCGGGGCTTTCCCCCTCTGATGACACGTTCAAAGAGAGAATGTCAATCAAAGTGTTTTTAACTGTGACTATAAAAAAGTACAATTAATAAACTCTTACCATTACAAGCTTATTATATTCGCATACTGTTGCGTGTTTTTAAACCCTTCATGACATTCATTTTTGTATAATATGTCTCCTTTAAAACTAAAGGCAAGCCAATCTTGAAAATCCACTGCTTTTCTTTTTTTGTTAGCTTTGTTGTGATTGTGGGTTGAAATGTTTTGTGAGAGCGTCATGGTTCGGTGATTTGTTGATGCACTCTGCACTGACCGCTTGTCTGCTGTCTCATTAGTAACCCGATCATGTGTTTTCAGTTTGTCAGCGGAGGTCTCTGCGCTGAAGCTCCGGCAGATGCTCCAGCAGATTCAGACCCACAGCCTTCAGAAAGACAAGAAGACTACAAGAGCCGGCTGGCGTCCACTCAAGATGTTCCCTCAGCAGTCAGCACTCACGAGACACACACATGAAGACCACTATAAAGTTTGATCTCAACTGTAACCGTGGCGCACACATCCAGCTGGCTCTTAGCACTTGAAAACATTTATTCTGTAATTAAAAAGTGAATTTGATCTGATTGGATTGATTTATGCAAATTAGATCATACATTTCTCTTTAAAAATAATAATATCATAAATAATGAGTCATATTTATTATAAATAAATAAATAAATCATTTTCATTTTCATTCATTTTATAATAAATAAATGTATTATAAATAATATAATATTAATAAAATCAATCCTTGGATTTACAGAATTTAAAGTAAAACAATTGATCTGGGCTGAATTTAAACAAACAATTTACATTTAGTAATGGCACATAATACATGTAACTTTTAGACATTTCTTTCTTCTGTTGAACACTAAAGATATTCTGAAGAAGGCTGTTTGAAACAAGGGTGAGTTGATGATTATTATAGTATTTAATGGTTGCAACACAGGCTCGGTGTTAATATGTACCCCCGTATACATTTCTGGAGAGTGCGAATTATATAGCCAGAGCTACATCTGGCTGCACTTCATCTTTAAAACCAAGGCTACGCGGCTTATTTTTCACATGCTTACCTCCATGTGAACGGTTTTCCCGCTTTTGCCAGTTTTTCCAGTAGCTTGCCATGTATGTCGGTGGATTCGAGACGCAGAAAAGAGTTGACCATGACAACAGGCAGGGCCGGCGCGTCCATAGAGGCAACCTAGGTGGCCGCATAGGGCGGCAGAATAGAGAGGGCGGCATCCCCGACACTACCCTCACCACCCGCGCGCTATATCCGCGTAGGGCGGCTAAGAGAAGGCGGCGTCCGCAACACTACCCTAACCACACGCGCCCTCAGTTATATCCACGTCTAGTGAGGTATAATACCCCGTGCTTTCACTTTAGGGTTGAGGGCGGCACGGCCGTTCTTTGCCTTGAGCGGCAGTTCAGCTTGCTCCAGCCCTGACGACAGGGTTCAAGTCCGACAAAGAGCGGTTCCAGAAAACAGGTAAAACAAAAACAAATACCAAAAAATTAAATAAACAAGTAAATAACCGGGCAATTATGTGGTAAAATCTGAAAACAGGGTAAAAATCAGGCAGCCGCAAGGGCTTTTCTTTTTCTGGATTGCTTTTCAAAACATGATCATTTGTGTTTAGGGAAGGGGAAAGGTAGGGTGATCGGTCGGTCAGTCAGTCAGTCAGTCAGTCAACAGCAGCCTCTGGTGGATTTACACGTGAACAGCAAGCACTCATGAGCAGGGGTGCCGCTTTGTGGGGGAGGGGGGGTGGCGTTAGGACAATCCTAAGGGCCCATACATCATTAAGAGCCTGTGGATATCCCCCCCAGCCCCCACCCTTCACTTTTATCTGTGATCTCCCCTCCACTTTTCATATATATCCGCGACCCCCCCCCCCACTCTTCACTTTCATGTATGATTACCCCCTCCCCCGCTGTTCACATTTATCTGTGATCTCCCCCCGCTATTCACATATATACATATATCCGCAACCTCCCCCCACTCTTCACTTTCATCTGTGATTACCCTTATCCCCGCTCTTCACTTTTATCTGTGATCTCCCCCCGCTCTTCACATATATCCGTGACCCCCCCACTCCACTCTTCACTTTCATCTGTGATTACCCTTACCCCCGCTCTTCACTTTTATCTGTGATCTCCCCCTGCTCTTCACATATATCCGTGACCCCCCCCACCCCACTCTTCACTTTCATCTGTGATTACCCTTACCCCCGCTCTTCACTTTTATCTGTGATCTCCCCTCTATCCGTGACACCCCCCAAAGCCCCCCCGTTTTTCACTTTCACCTGTTATTACCCACCCATCCGACCCCCACCCCCCATGCTCATGAGAGAATTTTGAGATCTGAGAAAGCGTACACAGTGACCTCTGGTGTATTCGCAAAAAAAGCGTACCTCCAGGTGCATATTTGGTGCTCTCCACAAATGTATATAGAGGTACGTTTTCAGAATAAGCCTGCATTGATTAAAGTTCAAAAGTCAAATCTGTTAACATCAGTTAATGAACATGTTTTTATTAACACCAAAGGCTAACAGCATTACTTTCACCCGCCATTAGGGCCCTTAAAGACTAACCATGTGCCCTTTTAAGTGCACTCATTCAGTCCAAGAGTCTGAAATTGTCCGCAATACATTTACACAGTCACGGTGCCTTTAATATGATGTGGCCTTTTCAATTAATTTATAAATAAAAGAATCTGTCCAAGACACTTCTCTGTATTGATTGAATTCAGAAATGCTAATTCATAATAGCTTTTATACTCAAGCCTATCTAGGTGGCTGTCAGAGTTTCTGTGGGTTTTGACATTGATCTGACACGGCTTCTTTTCTCCATGCACTTCACTTTAAATCACCTTTCTTGAGATATATTTCATGTCATTTTTACCTCACAATCAATTTTCATTCAAAGTGCAGAATAGGCCCGATGTTTGATTACTTAATAAGCCATTTACTGCAGACACGCAGCTCTGTCAAAAGCTGAATTAAGGTTGCCAGCGCTAAATCAATATTAGCCCAGTCAATGTGTGTCTGACGACTGCTGATACTGTAATCCACAGCTTTCTGAATGGACATTCACAATTTCATATGAGATATTATTCACATCTGACTCATTGGAAATACGAACCTCAGGCTACATTTATTGATTGATTTGTTTTTTCTTTAGCAAATGTAAAATATACTAAAATAGAGTACATTTCAGATTAAACTGATGCCCTCCTATGGTCAGCGTCAGACTTTTCCTAGATTATTACGATCAAATCTGTTCAATAAAGTTATACACTAAGAGTTTTACAGAGAAACACTGTTATTTTACAGTCTTTTTCCAAGATTATTACGATCAAATCTGTTCAATAGTTACTACAACAAGAGTTTTACAGAGAAACACTGTTATTTTACAGACTTTTCCTAGATTAATACGATCAAATCCATTCAATAAAGTTACACACTAAGAGATTTACAGAGAAACACTGTTATTTTATAGACATTTCCTAGATTATTATAATCAAATCTGTTCAATAAAGTTACAAAAGAGTTTTACAGAGAAACACTGTTATTTTATAGACATTTCCTAGATTATTATAATCAAATCTGTTCAATAAAGTTACAAAAGAGTTTTACAGAGAAACACTGTTATTTTACAGACTTTTCCTAGATTATTACGATCAAATCCATTCAATAAAGTTAAACACAAAGAGTTTTACAGAGAAACACTGTTATTTTACAGACTTTTCCTAGATTATTACGATCAAATCCATTCAATAAAGTTAAACACAAAGAGTTTTACAGAGAAACACTGTTATTTTACAGACTTTTCCTAGATTATTACGATCAAATCTGTTCAATAGTCACACAATAAGAGTTTTACAGAGAAACACTGTTATTTTACAGACATTTCCTAGATTATTACGATCAAATCTGTTCAATAAAGTTACACACTAAGAGTTTTACAGAGAAACACTGTTATTTTTCCGACTTAAGCAGTCATTTGACCATTTTTTATGATTTTTAAATAGTTACAATTTCTTAATTTAACTTTACATAATTTTAAATGTACTTAAAAAAACAGAAAAAAAAACACTGTGTACATAAAACAGCAATTTTATTGGATAAAACAGACAAATTGCTGTAATTCGTCATTAATTATATAGTACATAAAATAATAGTCAAGCTGTACATTTACAGATATTTTTTGTAATTTGTATGGACTTTTGAATATAATTTAAAATAACAGAAAAAATACTGTATAAATAATACTGTAATTTCCCTGTATAAAAACAAAAATTGCAGTAATTTGACTTTAATGGTAAACTACCTAAAACGAAAGACAAACTGTTCATTTAGAGAGATCGTTTGTCATTTCACTACGCTTTGAATATAATTTGAAATTACAAAAAAAAAGTCTGTAAATATTGTCTGTAAAATTATTTTTTTTTACAGTACCCAAAAAGTGTAAGTGGAGTAAAAGTAAGTTCACTGGTTTGAGTCTCAGCAGGGTCAGAGTTTGCATGTTCTCACCATGTTGGTGTTGGTTTTCTCTGGGTGCTCCGGTTTCCCCCACACTCCAAACACCTGCGCTATTGGGGAATTAGATTATCTCAATTGTAGTGTATGAGTGTGTGTGAATGAGTGTGTTTGGGTGTTTCCCAGTACTTGGTTGCGGCTGGAAGGGCATCCGCTGCGTAAAATATAAGCTGGAATAGTTGGTGGTTCATTCCACTATGGTGACCCCTGATAAATAAGAGACTAAGCTGAAAAAAAATGATTGAATGAATGCCCCACACAAAAATCAGTATTTATGCGTAAAACTCACATTCTCCCTATCAAAATGCATTATGAGTCGACATCAGCAGGAAGCTGTGAGGATATAACGAGACCTGCTTTCATGTGAACATGTTTTAAGAGAAAAAATTGGCATTTTACACAAGCCGGTTCCTGCAACCATGATTCAAGCAGCGCAAATCTGTATGTATTCTCATAGTGACACCAAAGGAACACCTAACATCAGATTCCCTTTTTCATGCAAAGATACACTCTTCAGTAAGTGAATAATTTCACGCAGGTTGGGAGAAAAACCTAACAGTTCAACGGCGATGAGGCCGTGCTGTTTGCTTTGTTTGCGTGACAATACTTGTGGAATATAGTCTGTCTGAGCACACAGTGTTACAGCAGGGGAAATAACTATTGAACATGGCATGTTGTTTCCTGGCAATAATATTTCTAAAGGAGCTGCTGACAAGGAATTGAAGCAGATTTTGGTAAAAACCCAAACAATACAAACAAAACCAAACCAAAAATTAAATCTGAACGATGAGTTCTGTGTAATGACAATGAAGTGACGCAAGGAGAAAGCGCTGAACTTCCCTTATTAACGCGTCCTTATATGCAGAATGAAGTCACATGCATTGCTCAGATTTAGTGTCTAAATCTTGATGGTTCTGTGGGTTTCGTCTGTCAAATCGGATTCGGGTCAGGTGATTGGCTGGGCCATTCTACAGCTTGATTTTCTTTCTCTGAAAGCATCTGAGAGTCTCCTTGGCTGTGTTTTGGATCATTGTCCTGCTGAA